GTATGAGGACTGTGGTTTGAAACCAGCCTAAGCAGAAAAGTCTAGTAGACTTACATATCTCCAGTTAACCAGCAAAAATTCAGAAGTGGAGGTGATGCTTAAGTAGTAGAGCCTTGAGTGGAAAAGCCAAGTGAGAACAGGAGGCCCTGAGGTCAAGCCCCATTGCTGGTACAAAAAAAAGTCTACTTCATTTGCTAAACTGTGAGGGTATAAGGTTGAAACTCTCTTATCTTCAGCTTTGCTCTAGTGCAAGCCAATGAAGCCAACATAGCAGAAAACAGATCTGAAAGATGGAAAGAAATTCCTAATGACATCATTTGACTCCCTAAGTCCACTCATGTCTGAGGGCAGTATAGCCCTCATCTCTTAGTTATAAAATAAATCTCTTCCTTCACATTTTTTTATTCATGTTGATAAGTGGATTGAGGTTTTCTTTCTCTTCAAAAGCAGAACATCCAGATTAATAAAATATTGTTAATATTATAACATTTAACAACTCAAGTTCCCTCAAGTTGTACTGTCATCATTTCCTTAAGTGTTCTGCTGACAATGAACTTTGTGATCTGAAATATGTTCCCACTATAAAAGCAGTGTTCTTTCATACTGCCTTATAAATGAGTACTACTAAACTTCCCATTAGTTTTCTCAAACATAGACACTTGGTTTGTACTCTGAATTGCAAGATTTCAAATTGAATGATTTACCACCTAATTTTTTAAAGACCATTCAGTTTTGCTTTATCCCCTTTTGTTTTAATACTTCCCATTATAATCCTCCCATCTGTGATTATACCAACTGTTGTGGCAGGATCTGCTCCAGCTGCATGGGCACATTTGAATACATTAGTTTGCTATGCCAGTGGTTTAGGAAATTTTTTATGGTACCATGAAGATTTATTGCTAACTCTTGTAGGAACTGCTTTATGATTTCATTTATCTACTAATATTGAAAACAATATTATTCAATGGTAAGCCTTCAGACCTATACATTTACTTAAGATACAAGATGACTATAGGATCCTATTATGTTTGAAAAATGCCTCTGGTCTCCACTTGCTTCTTATCATGAGGTCTATATACATACTCAATTTACCCATCTAAATTAACTTCTCCATATTTTAAGACCCAGCTCAAATATTACTGCCTCCTATGTGATTTCTCTTTCTCCCCCCGCTTTTCTTTTTGGTCACACAATTTTAATCAAGTTAATGTTCAGCAGTAAAAGTAAATTACATGAAAAGTCCCACATTTTGCATGTTGCAAGTTGTTTCATTAATCAGGCATAGTGGCTATAGCATCCTTTATAGCATCCTGGCTATCAGGGAGGCTGAAGTAGGAGGGTTGCTTTAGGCTGGGAGTTTAAGAACAGCTTGGGTGACGCAGTGAGACATTAGCTTAAGACAAAAATATGACACACACAGGCTGGGAAGGTGGCTCAGTGGTAGAGTGCTTGCTTTGCATGCAGGAGGCTCTGGGTTCAATTCCTCAGTACCACATAAGCAGAAAAAGCCAGAAGTGGTGCAGTGGCTCAAGTGGTGGAGTACTAGCCTTGACTGAAGAGCTGAGGGACAGTGCCCAGGCCCAGATTCAGGTCCTATGACCAACAAAAATGTGATACATACACACACATATTTATGTATAAAAGTAAAATAATTAAATCTACCAATCACTGAAAAAGCGAACAGGGGAAGGATGGTTAAGGTTAAAGGAATATAATAATAGAAGGGAAAAAAACTCAAAACAAAACAATGAATCCTTTTTCATTGTCTCATTGTCTTTACAATTAGCTTTTTTTTTTTTTTTTTTTGCCTTCCTGGGGCTTTACTCAGTGCCTGGGTGCTGTTCCTGAGCTGTTTTGTTCAAGGCTAGTACTCTGCCACTTGAGCCACAGCTTTACAGCTCCACTTCTGCCTTTTTTTTGTTGTTGTTGTTGACAGTTAATTGGAGATAAGAGTCTCATGGATTTTCTTGCCTGGGCTGGCTTTGAACTGTAAGCCTCAGATCTCAGCCTCCTAAGTAACTATGATTATAGGCATGAGACACCAGCATCTGGAACTAGTCTTGAGATCTTTGGAGTGGTGGAATAAGGTACATATTGTTTGAGGGTGCCAGGCATGCTCAATCCATGATTTGTCCAAGTGACTTTACTAGTGAACTGTCAATGAAGCCAATTACAGGGAGGCCAATGATGCCCCTAGTGTGTGTGTGTTAGAGGGGAGGGGAGGGCAGGGGACACCATCTTTCCATCCAAATTCCAGAATGTGGTTTTGCAATGCATTTCAGTAGTATACAGAACCCACTGCTGACAGTCAAAACTGCTTGTCATCTTTTCTTTTTTTGTTGTTGGTCATGGGGCCTGAACTCTGGGGCTGGATGCTGTCCCTCAGCTCTTCAGCTCAAGGCTAGTGCTCTACCACTTGAGCCACAGCGCTACTTCTGGCTTTTTCTGCTTATGTGGTGCTGAGGAATATAACCCATGCTTGCATGTGAGGCAAGCACTCTATCCCTGAGCCACCTTCCCAGTCCCTGCTTATTATCTTTATATCATTTTTTCTGTATTTTCCCCCATGAATATACTGATCTTATTTGCCCAGAAGAAATCTCATAGTCATAGACAGCATAGATATTAACTAGCTATAGCCGATTATTTTGAAACTTCCAGAAACTCATCTTGTTCCATGTGATTAAAAAGTAATCTTCTAAGATTTTGTTTCATCTTTCTCATTAGACTTAGCAAATCTTTCTTCTCTCTTTCTCTTTCTTTTCAGTAGTGGTTTGAATTTAGTGCTTAGCACTTGCTAAGGTGGTGCTCTACCACCTGAGCCATGCTTCTAGCCCTGCTATTTGCTGGGTATTTTGTAAATGGAGTCTTAGTGGAGTTTTACTTGGCCCAGGGCTGGCCTCAAACTGCACTCCTCTGGATCTCAACCTCTGGAGTATAGGTTTTACAAACATGAATCACCAGAACTGCCGCCACAAGTCTACTTCTTATTCATGAGAAATGATGCAATTAGAGAAGTACTGTCACTTTACGTTCCTGTGATAGTCATGATATTGTCTCTAAGAGAATCATAGGAAGCAAAATCTGACAACACATATTGCCATTACATTTCAAAAGCATACTTAGTAATAGCCAAAGATTAGAAGTAAGTCAGAGGCTCATTGTTAAGGAGGCATATTAATTAATGAATTTGGGCAGAGCCATAAGTTGAAATATTATGGAGCTGTGAAAAAAACCAGTAAGTTTTGCACATATTGATATAGTATACCTCCAAGAAATAGTCATGTCCCCAGTCTTTTTGGCTTCAGTTGTTTTCCCTGGTAACATTTTGCTTTGAAGCTTTAGTTATTTTCCCTGTAAAGTTTCCTGTTTCCTCCTACTTAGCTGGGAGGACAGAAATGTGCCATCACATCTACTCTATGGGATGAGATGAAAGTCTCACCAACTTTTGACTTGGTAAATTTTGAAATGTTTAGAGAGCTTTCTCTATCTGTTTATCGCTGTCTCTCTGTGTGTGTGTGTGTGTGTGTGTCTGTCTGTCTCTTTGTGTGTGTGTCTGTCTCTGTGTGTGTGTGTGTGTGTGTATGTATCCTGGAGCTTCAACTCAGGACCTGAATGCTTTTTCCTTTAAGACTAGCTTTCTATGCAGCTGGGATTGTCCCTTGGTGAGAGAGCACTTACTTGCCTAGCACATATGAAAGTCTGTGTTCCATTTTTCAGTACCACATACACAACAGAAAAAGCTGGAAGTGGTGCTGTGGCTCAAGTGGTAGAGTGCTAGCCTTGAGCAAAAGAAGCTCAGAGACAGTGTATAGGCCCTGAGTTCAAGCCCCATGACTGGAAAAAAAAAAGGCTAGTGGCTTTAATATTTGAGCCACACACACCTCCTTTTCCAGCTTTTTATTGGCTAATCGGGGATAAGAACTCTTATCCTAGGTTGGCTTTGAATGATCCTCAGATCTCAGCCTCCTATGTAGCCAGGATTATGGGCACGAGCAATACCATCAATATTGACAAACCACATATTTTAGGTGCTCTATCACGTCTTGTGGTGGGTATTTTAACAAATGAATTAAAAACTTCCCAAGCTTCAGCTAAAGTACAAAGCTCCCTTCTCTCTCTAGTGTTGGATCAGAAGTTTCCATAACAATGTGGCTTTCTTTGGAGTCCAGGACCAAGGTGATCCAGGAACACCCACAGCCCTTCTCCAGGTGGTCTGGACTCCAGGTCTGCGTTTTACTAGGGTTACCCTGGTAGCCCCTAGACAGTTTCAGTACCTGGCTTCCAGGTACTACCTAGATCAGAGGCTCAGGCTGTCCCTACGAGGGAAGGGACAACTGGAATTCTACTTTGTCTAGTGCCAGTCCCAGGAGAGACGGCTGCTCAGGGGCCAGCCAACATCCCATCTGGGCTTCCTATGCATTCGATGGCCAAATAATGGAGCAAAAGGTGTCACTGTGATAAGGGGCTGCTCCTGGAGCTTCCCCCAGGGTTCCAAACTGGAGCTAGCAGCTTACCTCCGGATTCTCATGCAAAGATTTCACAGACAGGTTCTCTTCTCTGAGGTTACTTTTTAAAAACCACTGTCGGGAGATGGACTCCTTAAAGTCTAGAATAAAAGGAGCCAGAGACCAGCGCAAAAGGAAAAGTGGCAGCGATCGGTTTAGGGAAGTTAATCTGGCGTGTTCAATGGCGTGCTCACGAGGAATCGGAACGCTATTGGTTTCCAGCAGAAGTGCAGCGAGGGCCGAGCAGGACCTGGAATCTCCGTTTGCGGTAAGATCAGCCACAGGGGTGCAAGCCAGGCGGTTAGCCGGCCCGCGGCCCGCCTACCTGGATTCCTGGGTCCAGTCTCCCGGCTGCTTCTAGCACCCGGAGAAGGATGATCCAGGCGGAGCGGGAGCGGCTTAGTCAGCCGGCGCACTGGGCATGCGTGGTGGGCGGGCCGCTAGGCCGGCTCCGGGAGCCGTGACGAGCCCGGAAGCGCCTGCGCGCGCGGCCGTCGGCTCCCGAACTAGTTTTGTTCGGGCGGGTAGGGGGAAAGGTCCTCGGGATAGGAACCCCTCGGAGAGAACCCTCGGCAGGACCAACGCGACCCCCGCCGGCACCGCGGCAATGTCCAGCAACAGTTTCGCTTACAATGAGCAGTCCGGAGGAGGGGAGGCGGCGGAGCTGGGGCAGGAGGCTACCTCCACCATTTCACCCGCCGGCGCCTTCGGCCTCTTTAGCAGCGACCTGAAGAAGTGAGGAGGAAGACGGGCTCGGGGTGCCGGGGCGGGGCTGGGGTGTGAGGCGGGGGGGGGTGCAGGCCCCGGGGCCGCGGGCGCCGGCCTCCCGCTCGGGGTCCCACGTCGGGCGGGGGGGGGCCGCTGCCCGCGGCGGGTTGGGGTCAAGCCGGGCCGTGAGGGTTGCGGTGGGCGTCGGGGTGCGGGTGTGTCCTACGACTCCGGGAGCGGCGTGACGACGACACTTGGGGTGCTGCGGTCCCAGCCCTCCCCCTCCCCCGGCACCGCCGCCGGAGTTGGGCCGGGCTGGCCGGGACGCCCCGAGGCGGGTTGTGAGTGGAGCCAAACATTGAGAAAGACTTTTTTTTTTTTAAAGTTTTATTTTTAGGATGAGGAGAGTATTTTGGGGTCGGGAGTGGGAGTAGCGCCGAGGGGAGGCTGTGACTCCAGAAGGTTGAGAGGAAGGGTTCCCACGCAGTGTGCCCTGAAGAATGGACAGTCACTACTGGAGAGTTTTCAGAAGCCCCACACAAAATAAGCGCATCCATAGTGACTCCTTAAAAAGTTACCATGAAGCCACGCACCAGGGGCGTTAGGCCTGGAATCCTAGCTACTGAGGAGGCTGAGATCGGAGGATCGTGGTTCAAAGCCAGCCCAGGCAGGAAAGGCTGTGAGACTCTCACCTCCAGCGCCCAAGCCCAGAGTTCAAGCCTCAGGCTGCGCCCTCCCCCCTGCCAAGTTACCATGAACAGATTTTTTTTTTTTTGCTGGGGGGGGGCAGGAGGAAGTTCAGGTCCTGGTGCTTGGACTCAGAGCCTGGATGCAGTCTGTTGTTGGCTTTGTTGTACCAGGTGCTATGCTACTTGAGCCACAGCTCCCTTCCAGCTTTTTTTTGTGGCTTAGTTGGAGTCTCTTGGACTTTCCTGCCTGGGCTTCAAACTGAGATTCTCAGGTCTCAGCCTCCTGAGTTAGTTAGGATTATAGTTGTGCCACCTAGCCAGCTTATAATTTTTAAAAATTATCTTTAAAGGGTAACACTAAGGTGTTGCCATTTAACAAAGCAGTTTGTGAATACAATATATCTTTATCAGTTTCACACCTTTCAAGATTGTCACCAGATCCTAATTTTTCACACAATAATGCGAATTGGAAAAGCATATAACTAAAATATGCCTTTTTTGTATAAAGTTAGAGTTCATTTTAAGTACTATTTAGAGTAATACTTAGAAACCCTCAATTTTCTTTTTCTTTTTAAAGTTTGATTTGGGTAGGCTTATATTTATTTATTTTTTGCCAGTACTGAGGTTTGAACTCAGGGCCTGGGCGCTAGGTCAAGGCTAGCACTCTGCATTCTACCACTTGAACCACAGCGCCACTTTTGGCTTTTTCTGTGTATGTGGTACTGAGAAGTCGAACCCAGGGCTTCATGCCTGCTAGACAAGCACTGTACCACTAAGCCATCTTCCCAACCTATGGTAGGTTTATATTTAAACAATCCTGAATTTGAACCTAGACATTTTAATCTTAACTCATTTTCTCTAGGCTTCAGAAATGCCACTAAGAGCTTGAAATTTATGGTGCCTTTATTAAGAGAATATATACAACTGAGTAGAAGTTTAAAAAATTGAATAGTCATAACTGTATACAGAAAATGACCTTGACGCTTCCAGGAATTAGAAACACTTTGGACTTGTACTGAAACAAAGAAACTCCTGTTGTGGAAGCAGTCAGGAAACTCTTTTGAGCTCTCACTTACAAAGTTGTGACATTACTTGCCCTTAAAAAAAAATCAATGGTGAAATTTATGTAAAAGAGCTTCCTCTGAGCTTGGGGCAGTGGCTCTTGGTTTTAATCCAGAATGGGAAGGATGAGGCTTGGGCAGCCTATGTTCCAAACCTTGCACTGTCTCAACCCTGTCTCAAAAGTTTACCCTGTTCTTTGCTCAGGTTTTTTTTTTTTTTTTTTTTTTTTTTTGTGTCAGTCATGGGGCCTGAACTCTGGGCCTGGGCACTGTCCCTCAGCTCTTCAGCTCAAGGCTAACACCCTACCACTTGAGCCTCAGCGCCACTTCCGTCTTTTTTTCTGCTTATGTGGTACTGAGGAATTGAACCCAGGGCCCATGCATGCGAGGCAAGAACTCTACCACTGAGCCACCTTCCCAGCCCTCTTTTTTTTATATATATATTTTAAAATTATATCTTTAGTACAAAGAAGTTCCCATTCTACAAAACAGTATGTGAATACAAGGTGACAACATTGTCATTCATCCCTCCTAACCCATCCCTTCTCTCACTTTTTTTTCAAAATTGAGATTAGGTGATTACATAAATTTCACATATTTCACAAAATTGTGGAATAGTGATACTTAAAGTCAGAAACACATTTTAATCTTCACAAGGCAAATTGTCATTATCATGGTCTATAAAGTTTGTGAATTCTTATGAGCTTTGACAATAATTATTAACAATTATTTCTTCCACATCAGGTGATGATTACATTTCTTTCCTTTTGCTTAGGGTAGGCTGTTCCCTCTTTCCCCTCATTCCTCCCTTCCCATCGCTGTCTTTGGGTTGCTTAGTTCTTTTTCTTCTTTGCTCAAAAAAAATTATTTTTCTTTGTCTTGATATATATATATCGTATCCTGGCTTCAAACTCAAATCCTTCTATGTACTGGGATTGCCAACATCAATACTACACTCTCCCCTTTGCTCTACATTTTTGTTTGTTTTTTTCTCTTTGAAATCTGGGACTAGGTGTTTGTCTCTATGCTTCCTTTTTTCAGGTTAGCTCTTGACCAGTTGATCCACAGCACTACTCTTGGCTTTTCCTGAGTAGTTTATTGGCAAAAAGAGTCTCTCAGGCTTTCCTGAGAGGCTGGCTTTGAACCATGGTCCTCAGATCTCAACCTCCTGAGTAGCTAGGATTACAGTAGCATGAGCCACCAGTCCCCAGCCATGTTTTATTTTTTATGTAACACTTTATGGTTCCAGTTATTTAGTTTGCTCTACTTTTTCTTTACTTACCTTAACATTTCTCATTGCTACGTTTAGCTCCTTCAGGTATTCTATATTTTCAAATTATGTAGTAACTCCTTGAATATTTGTTGAATATTTATATACAGAAATCTCTTACACATTCTCCAATAGCAAATGTTATAAGGTATGTGAAGGTGACTAGCAAAATAATTTGGTTCATAACTTTGCTTGGCAGATATTTTTAGGTGCTTCATTTTACTCCCAAGAATTCATGAAGCATGACTGACATACTCAATTGTTCTTGTGTCAGTTGTGTCCTCTATCCTTATGTACAAAGGCTCACTATATATTAGAAAACTTTAGTGTTTCATTTATTTTTTTTGTCAGCATTTCTTCCAAGAAAGTGGTTAAAGGAATTGAAGAGTCAATAATGACTTTATGGACCTGTGCTGAAGGAAAAACCTGGTATCCTATCCCTGTTGTATTTTATTATGGCATCATCCTAAAGTTAATTGTATTTAAGTCCAGAACAAATATTTTCTTTTTTTAAAAAAATATATTTTTTATTGTAAAGATGCTCTATAGAGAGGTTAGTTATATGAGCAAGTAATGAGTATGTTTCCTATTGAGCATTGTTACCCCCTCCTTTGTTTTTCCCCTACTATCCCTTCCCTCTCCACATCCCCAACTACCCCCCCCCCATTTGTAAATTTTCAATGTTGTGTCTTGTACATATCATTGTTACAGTGGGTCAATCTGTAGCCTTGTTTCAGCATTTTATTTCCCTTCTCCTCCCCAAATTAGAAAAAAAATGTATATACAAGATGCAGGGCACTGGAATCAAATACAGTGAAAACAGAGGTTATACCATGGGTGTAGAACATACAAGACAAGTATTTTCTTCATAGCACTGTTTGTATCTTTGCTGTGTTTAATATTGTTAGTTGACTTGAATTGTCACATCAGAGAAAGTAAATTTCTTACTTTCCACAAGCACCTTTTACTTACAGATTGAGATGATTTCACATGGATAGTTTCTCTATTTTTGTTTTACTTTGGTACAAGTATCAAGTCTAGGACCTTGCACATGCTAAGCATGTGCTCTATCAGCGAGCTATATTCCTGGTTCTCTGCCTATTTACTGTAGAGATACATAATAATTGTAAGATATTTATCTTGCCTTTAAGAATCTTAGAATTTAGGGGCTGGGAAGGTGGCTCAGTGGTAGAGCGCTTGCCTTGCATGCATGAGGCCCTGGGTTCGATTCCTCAGCACCACATATGCAAAAAGAAAAAAGCCAGAAGTGGCGCTGTAGCTCATGTGGTAGAGTGCTAGCCTTGAGCTGAAGAGCTGAAGGACAGCGCCCAGGCCCAGAGTTCAGTCCCCACGACTGGACCCAAAAATAAATAAATAAATAAAGAATCTTAGAATTTAGTGGACAAGATAAACAAATGTGAACTCACAGGAATACAAACCTGAATTGCTATTATATTGTGTTATAATTTTCAGCCTTCCAATGTGATGTACTATCTATTGTTATTTTAAGCCTTTATTTATATGAAGTAGTTTACTGAATAAAGTGGAAATGTTAAAATTTGAAAAGTAAAACACATTTTAGATTGAGATGCTGAAAATGTTGAACCCCCCAGGTTGCAAGCATACTATGAAAAGATATAGACTCTTACTGGGTTCTTGTGTGTGTGTGCGTGCGTGCGTGCGTGCGTGCGTGCGTGTGTGTGTGTGGGGGGGGGCAAATGGAAGCCTGGGTTAGTGGCTCATGCCTATCATCCTAGCTACTCAGGAGGCTGAGATCTGAGAATCACAGTTCAAAGCCAGCCCAGGCAGGAAACTCCTCCGTTAGACTCTTATCTCCCTCCAATAAACCTCTCAGAAAATGGGAATTGGTGCTGCGTCTCAAGTGGTAGAGTGCCTTGAGCTGAAGAGCTGAGGGACAGCGCCCAGCCAAGAGTTGAAGCCTTAGGACTGACTGGGGAAAAAAAAAAAGCAAATGGAAGTGAAAGGATCAGGGACCAGGTATAACTC